AGTGTTTCGTTCTGTTGTGCATAAAGGTCGCTATGCGGTACCAACTCGATGGCACCTAACAACAACAACAACAAAAGAAGTGACACCAAACTCCAAAAAAAAAGCTCTGTGCTATCTTGTTTTTCTCTTTATGATTCAGTTTTTGTTTTTTTAAATCAGACTTTAGACAGCACCAGGCACAGTGAGTTAGAAATGGAATGCTCACCCCACTTCCTCTGTTGTTTCCCTAGAGCCTTTGCCATCTGTCTTTCATCTTGTCTTTACCGCCAGCAGAGATTTCTCTTCATAAAACAAACTTAAAACTAAAAAAAACAGGCCACTTTTTGTTCTAACATCTTTCTATAGCTCCTTACTGCCTACCTGGTAAAGTCCGAATTCCTTATAATGCCATTTAAGGCTTCTTACAAACCCTAACCCAACTCTTCTTCCCATTTCTCCCTTCCCCATCTTTCTGCCTCTGCATACTCCACCATCGTGATTCCTTTACTTCCCACTTCCCTCTCTCTAGAATATCTTTCCCACCAGTGGAGCGTCTACCTGTCTTCTACATCCCACCCCGCCTTAGGACACTCTCCTTGGCTCACTTCATTGCTACCACTTGTAATGTCCTCTTATGCTGGCAAAGTTCCCTGAAGGGAAAGTCTATTCTGACCTGTTTCTCAGTAACAAACGATTGCCCATGATTGATGCTCAAGAAATACGTACTTACTGAAAGAGCAACGATCACTTAATTCTGGTTTTATTCCGGTGACAAAACTTTCCCGTTTTAGAGAATATGCACGCATGAGAGAAAGCCTTCTATTGCTTGGCCCTCAATTTTCCATAGAACAAATAATCCGTCCCTCAAGCTACGGTCTTTCAAACCTCAGAAATGCTCACTAAGTATGTATTTTTTTACTCTGTTGCCCAAGTAACTTCTGAGTTGTGAGCTTGAAATGAAACCTAAGGTAGACGTTGGGAAACATCATATTTCTTAAAAAAAAATGAGCTACAACACAAAACTGAAAGTCAAGAAGACCTGAGAACTGCAAATGTTCGCATTAATCCACCTGTGGGGCCCAGTCCTGTCTTCCCAAGGCCTTCTCTAACACCTCTAAGTTTATGCATCACTACCCCTGGATTTCCTTGGTGATTATCACAGATCTCCAGCAAATTAAAAGGTGTCAGGAGATGTAACAGAGATAACAATTCAGAAGGTGATGCCAAACCTTCCCACAGTGCATTCTCTTGCCAACCCACCTAGGGTGCAAGGTAACAGCAGCAGCAGCTGCAAAAAAAATGTCTTATTTTAGTTTGTAGTTTTCTTTTACAAGTAGTTCTGTTGTTGTCTGTGAGCTTGCTGCCAGTGGCAAGTTACATCTTATCCTTATTTACTGCCAGGAGTATTTTTAAATTCCTTATTTATGAAAGTTTATTGTATCTCCTCTAAGCCTGGGAGCCATACTTTATGGCCATATTGCACTGAAGCTTATCTCCTGTAGCTCGAGATAAATTTATTACTGTAGTAATTGTTGCTTTGTTTTCTTTCTGGCTACTGAAGGGGAAAATGTTGAAACATTTAAACTAAGTGACTTGTGAAAATGAAAATATATAAATGAGAAGTTGAATCAAAAAAGGGATTAAAGACTATATAATATAAAAAGATAAATAAATGAAGTCTGTATCTCCTTGTTCTACTTGTTTTTATTTGTGGGCTGAAAGAAAATGAGCATCCTGCTGCTATAACCAGGGACATTCAAGGCAACTTGGGGAAGTAGGCATGCAATAGGAGCCAGGTA